GGGCGGCATTTCGGGTGCCTCCTGATGGCGTTTGGGGGCCTCTGAGGGCCTCTTGGGGGCCTCTTGGGGCTTCCTGGGGGCCTCTGAGGGCCGAGAATTTGAGATTTTGTTTTGTGTTCACTTTCTGGGTCCCCTCCTGAGGCATTCGTTGGGCCCTGTTGCCCTGTTGGGCCGTCTTGGGGGCTTCTTCGGCCGTCTTGGAACCGTCTTGGGCCGTCTTGGGGCCCTATTGGGCCCTCTTGGGGCGATCGTGGGGGCCTCTTGAGCAGCCGTCTAGGGGCGTCGGGAAGCCGAAAGGCAGAAACGCCCAAATCTGTCCAAAACCTAAGGGAAAGCAGTGAATGTTGCTTCTTTGGGTTCTCTTGGGAGTGCTCCTGGAGGCCTCTTGGGGCATCTGGGAGGCCTGTAGGGCCATTTTGGAGGCCTCTTGGGCCTTCTGGATGCCAGCATGGGCGTCGTGGAGCGATCTTCGGGCGTCTCGGGCCTCTCTTGGACCGTGTTGGGGGCCTCTTGGGGCCCTCTTTGGGGCGATCCTGAGAGCCCTGGGGGAGTCTCCCGGGCCGCGCCCGGGCCGCGCCCAGGGTACTTTGGTCCGGGGACCCCTAGGGGCCTCCCCGCGCGCGCGAAGTTGAAATATTATATAGATGTTACCGGAGATCTCAGCACGCCTCTGGCCCGTTGGGCCGGCGAACTGCTCGAAATTATTTCTGGGATGTGGTCCTTAAGTACGATGGGATCAGCATAAGACGAGGGTGGGGGGAGGGCAATGATGGGGAGGAGCAGGTGGAAGACAAGGTGGAGGGCGGGGTGCGGGGCATGAGGGCCGGATGCTTTTCGAATGCAGCCCGTCCGCGGCACATGGATTGACCGCTCGTGGGGCGGCCCACCCGCAGGGTTACGACGGCCTGAAGAAACTCGAGGCGCGTTTGCCCCCGTCCCACCCCCGTTCCCATCGTCCACGCCCCACCCTTCTCCCCTCGTCCTCCGAGCCCTCCCCTCCGCCCTCCAGTGTCCCCTCCATGTTTCCTGCTTCCCGTCCCTCCCTTTGTCTTCCCGTGCGGCCTGCCTCTCCAGCCCCCCCCCCTTGTGCCTCCATTCCCCTTTCCCCCCCTCTTCCCCGCATCGCCCAAATGAACCAACACCGTGTTTATGGTATCTGACAAGCGAGCAGTTAGCACCTGAACCCAACGTTTGGTGCATCCCTCATCGCCAGTTCTGCTTATCAAGAATGGCCGACCTGTTGCTCGCACCTTCGCCTCCGACTTCCTGCACTCCCGCTTCCAGGCTTCCCCCCGCCGCCCTCGCCTGTCCCTCGCCGCGCTGTCCTCCTCTCCGTCCTCCTCCCCCCCCGACTAGGGATCCAACTTCAATTCTTGAGCGACTTAAGGGACCGTGCCCCTCACCGCTCGCCTGCGTCTCATCCCCCCCCCACACTCTTCACCTCTGCCTTCTCCCCTCTTCGTGATTCCCCAGCCGAGCCGCCTCCGTCCTGCACCTTATGCTCGCTGAAGGGAACACCAGCAGCATAATCGGGAGTGGCGCTCATATCCCGCCCCCTCCCTTGTTTTGTCTTCAGAGCTAAGTCACGACCCGCCCCAGAAAAAAGAAGGTATATTCCGCACCCGCAATTGTGGACTCCTCCGGAAGGATTGTTGTGGATCCTTGAGGGTTCTTTACGATTCACAAGGGTGCCAGCATTTTTCGCGAAGGGTTCCCAAGATCCCTGCGGATTCTTGAAATGTTCGTGAAGCCGCCGAGAGAGCGCTGCTCCGCTCCTGGAATTATTAAATCCATAGGGGTGCCAACGATATGTTTTGTCGTGCAGGATTGCTTTGTTTTCTGGTGCTGCGGACAAATGGGGGAATACATAACGCAAGATCTGTTTTCTTTCTTCTGGAGCTCAGCGCGGATCTCTTGAATCTGCGTTGGGCCCCTTGGCGCCGCCTTCCGCGCCGCCCCGGGCGCGTTCCGCGCGCCAGGGAAGGGGGGGAGGGTCCCAGCATCGATGTGGGAAACCCGAGCGGACCTCCGAGAATTGTAGTTCATTAGTTTTGGGGGCCTCGTGGGGGTCTCACCGAACACTTGTCTCAAAAAGGGCCCCTTTCATTTAGTTGTGGGGTCCTCGTGGGGGTCTCTCCGAGGGGCCTCTTGAGGGCCTCCTGGGGGCCTCTTGGGGCTCCCTTCAGTAGTGCTGGGGGTCTTCAAGTTCCCCCTCTTGGGCTCCTCCTCTTGGCATCGCTCGGACGTTTGCATTTTTCTCGGCGAGGACCATCGAAGAGCATCCTGGATCATCGAGCAAGAAAAACACGCACAACTCCAAAAACAATGCACAGGGAATGGACGTCCGAGCGACGGCAAGTCCTGGGGCCCTCACGGGGGTCTCATGGGAAGTCTTTGGAGCCTTTTTGGCCACTGGCGCGGCCCGAGGCCAGAGGGGAGCTGCTGTACAACGGCGACACCATATCCGTGGACTTCTTCGTGCGCACGCAGAACTACATGCACGCGCCGCTGCTGCCGCTAGCTGGTCTGCCCCTGATCGCGATCGACCGCGAGGAGTTGGCGCCAAGTGGGGGGGGGGGGGGGCGGCGGCGGCGGCGGAGGAGGAGGAGGAGGAGGAGGAGGAGGAGGAGGGGGAGGAAGGATGGGGGGGAGGAGGCACGATGGACGGCTTCCATTTTCACGACGGAAGTTTTCCACCCCCCGGGGCACGACAATGTTTTCCACCCCTCCGGCAGTTTTCCACCCCTCCGGAAGTTTTGCACCACAGCATTGCCGGACACATCTGCGCTGAGCGAGGAGCTGCCGGTGAATTGAAGTGCCATCACGGAGGGTGAAGTCTCTCCGGCTGCAAAGAAATTGAAAAACGGTCGCGCTGGCGGCCTCGATGATCTGCCGCCCGAGTTCTGGAAAGCCGCTGCAGAGGACGGAGTGCCTGCGCTCGCTTGGGTTACCAGATTTTGCAATATGGCGTGGACGCAGGGTCGCGCCCCTGACGCCTGGTACAAGGCGCGCGTCCGCGTGATCTACAAAAAAGGCGACCCGGCATCGTGCGATAACTACAGACCGATACGCCTGCTCCCCATAGGGTACAAGGTATTCGCGATGATCATGCTGCAGAGGCTGAAGGACGCTGGGGCCGAAGACCGCATCTGGCCAATTCAATTTGGGTTTCGGTCTCACAGAGGCACCGCAGATGCGACCTTCGTGGCCAGACGAGTCATAGAGGACGCATGGGCAACCAAGCGCGGCAGCACTTTGCTTTTGGCTCTAGGCTGGGCGAAGGCATTCGACTGTGTGGCGCCGGACGCCTTATCAACCTCGCTCAAAAGATTTGGGTGCCCAGACAAATTCGTCGACATGGTCAAGTCAATTTACAGTGCCAGGACGTTTGTGGTGTCGGGTTTCGGTGCATCATCCGCTGAACGGGGTCAGTGTTACGGCATTTGCCAAGGGTTCCCCTTGTCTCCTTTTTCTGTTCACCATTGTGATGACGACTTTGATGGCAGACGCACACAAGGAACTCCGTTCTCGTTTGCCAGATATTCCCGATGCGCACTTCGTCCTGGAATTAATCTACGCCGACGACACTTTGCTCCTCGACGCTGATCCCGTCGTAGTGGGCGAGCTGATGGCCTGCGTCGAGAATTGCGGCAATCATTGCGGGTTGAGCCTGAACTGAAGGAAAGTGGAGCTGATGAAGGTCCGCTCTAATGCGCACCTGCAGAACAGCGCGGGAGTTCAAGTGCAAGACAAGGAAACTCTGACTTACCTCGGCACCCAGCTCGCGGCGGACGGACGATGTGGATCTGAGCTGAACAGGAGAATCGGCATGGCCAAACAAGATTTCAAAGCATTGAAATCGGTGTGGTCACATTCTCCGTTGAGCAGGGCGAGGAAAGTAGCAATCCTCAACGCGCGCATTGTCGCCAAGCTTGTGTACTGTCTATTTGCAGCATGTCTTAATCAGGCAAGGCAGAACGTAGAAGAATTGACGGCTTCCACGCACGCTGCTTGAGATCTACATTTCGGGTCCCACCTTCTTATATCAGTCGCGTGTCGAACAGCGCCGTGCTAGGCATGGCCAGAGAACGGCCGTTCAGCGAGCTCATCGTCAAACGACAGATGACTTTCTTTGGGCAGCTCGCTAGACGCGCGGGCAAATATCCAGTGAGACAGTCGGTATTTGAACCAGGCAGTCTAACTTTCAAGCAGCCGACAGGTCCCCGGGAAAGAGGGCGACCCCGGCAAACGTTGGGAAGAATGGTCATGAAAAGTTGTTCGGACGTTGCTGGCACCCCTGCCCGTTTTGCTGACTACTTCCGCCCGGAGGGCGGTGCAGCAGCGGCATGGATGTCAGCTGTCCGCTCATGGCACCTTTGATATCTGTGTTGTAGCATACTCTCTTGCTTGCGCACCGTGTGGTGCACGGCGACCTGACTGACTGACGGGTCACGACAACAATCACGATCGACGGCTTTCAATTTTCTTAGTTCCGGACTCCAGGGGCCTACACTGGGCCTCGGGACAGTCAATTATCCCGGCGAAGGGCCCAACCATACGCAGTTGTGAGTACCGCTCTGTGGGTACCGCTTTCAGTGGGGCTCCTTATGGGGCCACGACCCTCGTGAGGGGTGTGCTGAAATGGGCGTGGGGGCGCAGGCGAACCCTGCCACTGGGGTCTCTGGTGAAGTTCATTACGAGGCCACTAGACGTGTGAGGGATGTGCCGACATGGGCGGGGGAACGCATGCGGACCCTGCCACTGGGGCCTTCGGTGGAGCTCCCTACGGGGCCACGATCCTCGTGACCACGATGCTGATGACGATGTGGATGATGGCGATGGCGATGGCGATGGCGATGGCGATGGTGATGGTGATGATGATGATGATGATGATGATGATGACGATACTCCTGGTGATGACGGCACGCGTGAAAGCAGAGGCTGGAATGGGAGGAGGGGGAGGAGGAGTGAGTGAGGAGTGAGTGGACGCGGGGCGATGTCTCTTCAGACCGACGACCCAACACCATAGGATGGTGGGGTACAATCTGCCATCAGAGCGGGCCGGTGCAAAATTGGCAGGGCCAGCTTGCGCGGCAGCAACCGCTGGCCGGGGGCAGTTCTGACTCAGCGATGCGCCCCTCGGCTCCACCATCCTTGGGAGGTCTGCGCGGCTCTTGGAGCCTTCTCGGGAGCCCCAGTTGGTCGTCTTGGGTGATCCTCGGGCAGTCGTGGGGCAATCTTAAGCCAGGCCCTTTCTCGGGGCGTCTTGAAACCTTCGAGTGCCTCGGACCAAGGCTTGCTCATGCAGAGCGCGCGCCCCCGAGAAGCTGGTATCCTCGCGAGCAGCCGGCGCACTCCTTATAATCATTACTCGCTTCGCTCATTCCGCCGGCCCATACAGTTTCATGTCTGCCGTTTGCCCGAGGGCCTGGTGTCAATGCGCCGCTTTGGGGGTTCCTGGGGCCGCTTGCGGGACACCTCGGGCGCTCGGGGGGGCATTTGGGGGGCCTCCTGGGGCCGCTTGGGGGACTCTTGGGGGCCTCCTGAGGGCCTCGTGGGGGCCTCTTGGGGCCTCTTAGGGGCCTCTTGGGGCCTCGTAGGGGCTTCTTAGGGCCGAGGGCTCGAAATGTTGTTTGGTGTTCCCTCTCTGGGGCCCCTTTGGGGGCGTTCTTGGGGCCCTCTTGGACCGTCTTGGAGGCTTCTTGGGCCGTCTTCGAGCCCTCTTGGGCCATCGTGGGGCCCTCTGGGGGGCCTCTTGGGCCCTCTTGGGGCGATCTTGGGGGCATCTTGGGCCGTCTTGGGCGTCGGGAAGCCGAAAAGGTGGAAGCTCCAAAATCTTTCAAAACCCGAGAAAAAAACAATGAATTTTGCCTCCGGGGGCCCTCTTGGGAGTGCTCTTGGAGGCCTCTTGGGGCGTCTGGGGGCTATCTTGGGCGTCTTGGAGCGATTTCGTGGCATGTCGGACCCCTTGTGTACCATCTTGGGAGCCTCTTGGGGGCATCTGGACCCGTCTTGAGGGTTTCGGGGACGTCTCGGAGCCCTGTTGGTGCGCTCCTGGAGCGCTCTGGGGGAGTCTCCCGGGGATCGCTCGGGGGTCGGTCGGGGATCGCCCGGGGTACTTTTCGTCCGGGGACCCCCAGGGGCCGCCCCGCGCGCGCGAACTAGAGATACTGTTAACCAGTTACCGGAGACCTTAGCACGCCTCTGGCCCGTTGGGCCGGCGAATTCTGGCGAAGGACCCAACCACATGCAGTTGTGAGTAGCGCAGTTGTGGGTATCGTCCTCGGTGAACCTCTCCATGGGGCCACGACGCGTGTGACGGGAGTGCCAAGTTAGGCAGGGGTACGCCATGCGAGCGCTGCTATTGGAGGGGTACGCCGACATGCAGGGTTGAACCACATGCGGGCGCTGCCACTGGGGCCTCCGGTGGAACCTCTTATGGGCCACGATCTTCGTGAGTGGTGCGCCGAAATGCAAGGTGGAACCGCATGCGGGCGCTGCCACTGGGGCCTTCCGTGGAGCCCCCTATGGAGCCACGAGACGTTGGAGGGGTGCACGGATATGCAGGGTGGAACCGCATGTGGGCGTTGCCACTTGGGCCTTCGGTGGAGCTCCCCTTGGAGCCACGAAGGGTGTGAGAGGTGCGCCGACATCGGATGTGGAACCGCATGCGAGCGCTGCCACTGGGGCCTTCGGTGGAGCTCCCTATGGGGTCACGAAGCGTGTGAGGGTTGCGGCGACATGCAGGGTGCAACCGCGTGCGGGCGCTGCCACTGGGGCCCTCAGTGGAGCTCCCTGTGTGGCCACGGAGCGTGTGAGGGGTGGCCTAAAGAGTGTGTGTGTATATATATATATATATATATGGAACCGCGCGCGGGCGCTGACGCTGGAGTCTTCGGTGAAGTCCCCTATGGGGCCACGAAGCGTGTGAGCGGTGTGCCAAAATGCTGTGTGGAACCGCATGCGGGCGCTACCACTTGGGCCTTCGGTGAAGTTCCCCATGGGGCCACGTAGCGTGTGAGGGGTGCGCCGAAATCCGCATGCGGGCGCTGACACTGGCGTCTTCGGTGGCGCTCCCTATGGGGCCACGAAACGTTTTGAAGGAGGAGAGGAGGAGAGGAGGAACGCTGGGCGCTGTCTCGTCATAACGAGGAGTCAGCGCCACAGAATGGGTGGGAAAAGACACTGGATGAAAAGCCGGTCCCCCGGAAGGGGTCCAGATTCATGTGGCCCGAGTAATGAAGCAATCGATGTCGGGGTTGGGAGGGTGAGGAGGGGGACGCAGGAGGCGAGACGAAGAAAGTGAAGGGAGGACGAGGAGGACGAAGAGGTTGAGGGAGAGGACGAGGGCCAGGACGAGGGGAGTTGGGAGTTCAGGGAGGAGGGATGGGGGGGAACATCGGGCAAGGACAGTTGGGGGATCAGAGAAAGAGGACAAGGTTTGTGGAAGTCGATTAATGGATAGGAAGCATGCTGCCAAATACTTCCCTGATGTCTAAAACATGTTTCAAACATGTTTTAAATATGTACACACATGTTTGACACATATTTAGAACATGCTTTACACATGTTAGACACAATTATAGTTCAACGATACGATTGTTAGAGTGTCCATTGTCATGACATCTTCAAGACACGGTACAGGGATCTATGATGATGATGATGATGATGATGATGATGATGATGATGATGATGATGATGATGATGATGATGATGATGATGATGATGATGATATGATGATGAGGATGAGGATGATCATGAGGATGAGGATGAGGATGATGTGGGAGAAGGTGGAGGAGGCTCACATTTCGCCAGCCTTAGCAAGTCGCGCGCATGACTGCACTCAAGGTCGGGGTTGGGCTATGGATCTGGTGTTGGGGAGAGTGGAGGGGGAAGACGTCCTAGCTAAGCGCCGCCTGACTTTCAATGCCAGCCCAAACAGTTTTTAACAGCATGCAGACTATTGTGTTCACTGCACTCCCAGACATATTCCCATCATTCCAATATGACGCTCGCCCTATAGACCGGCCAACATACATTTCGCCAGCCTCAGAGCTAGCTCGCTTTACGACAGCTTGTTTACGCTTTGGCGGTGGTATTTGGTAGGACGCTGGAGGGGAAGTGCAGGAGCTCTCATCCAGTCCGGGTTTTGCCATTCTGACAAGTTTAGTATACCCGAGCACCGTAAGCACAGTCTCACAGCATTCCATGTAAATTTATTCACCTCCCTTCCTATCGCATCCGAGCTACCTCTAGATCTTGATACCTTCATCCTCACTTGCGATTTCACGATCGCACCAGCTTTGACCATGATTCCAGGTCCTTGGTGTAGTGATGCGTGTTGGCTCTGTGAAGCCTTGGGAACATAGACACACATGACCGTATAGGCCAGCGGTCAATGTAACCGCCCACAGTTTTACAATGTTGCCCGCACGCGCGTGTATGTTGGTCATTCATATTTGGTGCCTTCATCTTGCTATGTTCATGTTGTTGTCATGTGTATGTGTTCCCCCTCACTTCCTCCCTCCCGCCCTCCCTCCCCATTGGCAGTCTGCTCAGTTACTCCGCACTCTCACGCGCTCCACTACTTTTCCCGCACTCTTTGCATTTCCATTCTCAGCATCTGCCGTCAGCTTGATTCAGTCCTTGTGCTTATCTCGTTGTCTCGTATGTGCGCTGCCACATGGCTGTTTTCCTCCAGAAAGCCACAAGACATGAGCTTTGAGTCCGACCAGCCGAAAGGGCGGAGGTGGAGGTGGAGGAGGAGGAAGAATAAGAGGAGGAGGGAGGAGGAGGAGGAGGAGGAGGAGGGAGGGAGGGAGGAGGAAGAAAAAAGGAGGTGGATGAGGAGGGAGAAGAGGAGGAGTTCAGGACCGAGGAAGGGGGCGGTGGAGAGGGGCGGGGAGGAGGCCGAGGAGGAGGGCGAGGAAGAGAACAGGAAAAGGGATGTGGGTGGCGCATGGGGCAAAGGGTTGAGGTTGACGGGCGGGTGTCAAGGAGAAGACGAATTTGATCGAGGAGGGAGGGGTGAGAGGGGGGTGAGGTCGGTCTCCCCCGACTGCGAGGGGCGGCCAGATCCCCATTTCTCCTCCTCCCCCCATATCCTCGTTTCATTCACAGCACTCCTCGTTCTCATCGTCCTTCTCAATTATTTTCTTGAATTCTGGGCTGTCCTGGTTGAGATGGGCCTCGAGGAGTTGGTTGCGGGCATGATGGGCCTGGCTGGCACATTCGTCTTTGCGCTGAACTATTTCTGCTGCTACGCGGCGCTCGTCTTGGGGATCAAGCGCTTCTCCAACATCCATCCGCGCTGCCGCGCGCTTCGTTCTTCCAAATGCTCATCATTCCTTGCTCGCTTCTCCTTTCTCTCCTCCCCCTCCTGCTTGCTTCTCCTCTCCCTCCTTGCTTCCTCGTCGCCCACCCCCTCCCCCTTGATTCCTTCCCCTTGATTCCTTCCCCCCTCTTCCCCCTCGTCTTCCCTCGCCTCCTCACTCCTCCTCCCCCCCCTGCTCCCTGCCGGAGACTGTTTGTTGTTTCCTCCCTGGTGACAGCGGCGGGCTTGACCAAGGACGGAGGGGCGGGGGAGGCGAGGGCGGTCCCGTCACGATTCGCGCGCTGGTGCCGTCTGGATTTGGTATCGCTCGGACGTGTGCACCTTTTCTCGGCGGGGATTATCAAGGAGCATCCTGGATCATCCTGCGAAAAAACCGCGCACGAAACCGAAAAAAACACAGGGAATGGACGTCCGAGCGATGGCCAGAGGAAGTGCGCCAGGGTGGCGGATTGCCGGACGGCGCTGGCGCGGAGGGGTGAGGCGGGGAGGCGGGGCCAGCCACGGACGCGATCGCGAGCAGTCCAACAAAATTGGCTCCCTCCGTCTCTTCTTCTCCTGCGCTTCAGTCGGACACGTCCTCCACAGGAGGAACATCCAATAATAATCAAAATATAGTCTGGGGACGATGCTTTTACTATTGTTGGCTCCTATATATGTATATATATACATATATATATATATATATATGTATGTATGTATATACACATCTCCGGAAGAGCTTCGCCCCATGCCGCCAGCCCCCTGTCTCGGATCATGGGAGATGCAAGAGCTAAATCATGAGGTCTTGGGCGCCGCCGTGAAGCAGTGTCGGGACCTGTTTGTTTTTCGACCCTGACCCTACGGATCTGCGTCACGGGTGCTACCGAATTTCAGAAATGTAGCAAATCCCGTATGTTTTTGGACTCTGCCCCCGCCGATCTGCGTCAGGGGTACCACCGAATATCAGAAATGTGGCAAATCCTATTTGTTTTTGCACCCTGACCCCGCCGATCTACGTGAGGGGTGCCACCGAGAAATGTGGCAAATCCCATGTGTTTTTGCACCCTGACCCCACCGATCTGCGTGAGGGGTGCCACCGAATTTCAGAAATGTGGCAAATCCTTTATGTTTTTGGGCCCTGACCCCGCCGATCTGCGTGAGGGGCGCTACCGAATTTCAGAAATGTCGCACATCCCATGTTCCCGGAAAGGGCTTTGGCCCAGGGTTCTCTTTTAGTATGTAAACATGTCCCCGGTGCCCAACTTGAAGGAGGCCGGCGGATTCTTTCCTTGATAAATATCGAGCTCGAAGGAGGCCGGCGGATTAAAATTTGAGGATGTCTCAGGCGAAACGTTTGTTTTTGAAATCCCGATCGATAAATCACAGGGTGCGGGACACCTCAGCACGACCACACCCCCAGCATGACCACACCCCAGCACGACCACGCCCAGCACGACCACGCCCCAGCACGACCACACCCCAGCACGACCACACCCCAGCACGACCACACCCCAGCACGACCACACCCCAGCACGACCACACCCCAGCACCAGCACGACCACACCCCAGCACGACCCGATCGATAAATCACAGGGTGCGGACCACCCCAGCACGACCACACCCCAGCACGACCCCACCCCAGCACGACCCCACCCCAGCACGACCACGCCCCAGCACGACCACACCCCAGCACGACCACACCCCAGCACGACCACACCCCAGCACGACCCCACCCCAGCACGACCCCACCCTAGCACGACCACACCCCAGCACGACCACACCCCAGAACGACCACACCCCAGCACGACCCCACCCAAGCACGACCCCACCCCAGCACGACCATACCCCAGCACGACCACACCCCAGCACGACCCACCCCAGCACGACCCTACCCCAGCAAGACCACACCCCAGCACGACCACACCCCAGCACGACCTCACCACAGCACGACCACACCCCAGCACGACCACGCCCCAGCACGACCACGCCCCAGCACGACCACGCCCCAGCACGACCACCCCCCAGCACGACCACCCCCCCAGCACGACCACCCCCCAGCACGACCACCCCCCAGCACGACCACACCCCAGCACGACCACTCCCCAGCACGACCACACCGCCTTGGTTGAGTGGTTGCCTGTCGTCGTGGGATGTTTCGTGGGGTGTCTCATGGAATGTTTCGCGGGGTGTCTCGTGGAATGTTCCGTGAGGTGTCTCGTGTAATGTTTCGTGAGGTGTCTCGTGGGATGTTTCGTGAAGTGTCTCGTGGGATGTTTCGTGAGGTGTTGCCCAGTTGGGTATCGTGAAAACGTGTCCATGCTCCACATGTCTATATCCCTTTCTGGGTTCGTGGGTTCGTGGTTCAGAAATGTGGCAAATCCTTTATGTTTTTGGGCCCTGACCCCGCCGATCTGCGTGAGGGGTGTCAATGTTTACCCACCCCAACAATTCAGACAACACGCTCAGGGAGTGGTAAAAATGCCCGTTTTGGGCCTCTCCCCCTGGCGCGGCCCATCAACAAGGAACAGCAAGCAGCAAGAAGCAGAACAGCAAGCAGCAAGAAGCAGAACTGTAAGAGTGGAAACTGGAAGCTGCAACTGGTACAGGAAACTGCGAACCTTAGGCCTACAGCCTGGTTGCCCCACAAAGGGGGCCGGCGGATAATCTATATATATATACACATATGAACATAAGTTGTTGGCTAATTTTATTTTTCGCCCAAAATCCGCCTGTAGGAGGACATGCCCGACCCAATCTTGCTCCCTCCTCGACGCCGCCGCGTTGCGCGGCGGCGCTGCAGGGTGGTGGTGGCATGCCCGCGGCGTGCCGCGTGGCGCTCGCAGGGGTGCCCTGTCGGCGGGGGCGGCGTCTCGTCGCCTCCTGGTCGGGGGGCCTCGGAGGGCCCCGCGGCCGACGTCGCCGTCGCCCTCCGAGTCGCGCGGGATGCCCGAGTGCGCCCTCTCCTTGTCCGTTCCTCCAGCTGCCTCGACGCTTCGCCGCCGCTGCGCCGCTGCCTGTCTCCGCGAGGCTGCTGTCTTCGGGATCCTCTCTCGCTTCGGGGTGGCTGTCCCGCGGCGGGGCTGCGGCCGTTCGAGCGCCGTGCCACTCCCGGCGTTTCTCTTGGCGGCGGGTCCCTTCGACTCGCGCTCGCCTGGGCCTCCTCAGGGTCTGGTGACAGTGCTGAAGTCAGCCCGCATATTAAGGGTAGATCCTTCCTAAGGGTACCCTCGCATCCTTGCCCTTTCGGCCCATCCTTCCCGACGTTGACTTGCCAGCCTCGTTCGAAAAGACGCCAACATGGCCCTCCAAGGCACTTGCATCCTTACCGCGCATCCTCATGATAGGGGTTGACTGTATGCTTGTCGCCAGCTGTTGACCCCGGAAGCAGGCCCTTCTTTGTGATGGCACTCGGGGGGGACCTGGGTTTTGGGGCTGGCTGGGGGTCTGAGGCGGCCCTGGTGCCAGCCAGCAGGGAGGGAGAGGGGGTGAGGTTCGAGGTCCAGGGTTCGAGAAGGCTTTTGCTTGCCCTTTCTGTCTCTGGGGGCCGCGTGCGGGCCCCAGGACCGTCAAAAGTGGTTCCGGAATGAAAGGTCTGCAGTGGATGGTCCGCGGGAAAGGGTCTTCGGGACCGCTTGTGAGCGGATATCTAATCAAAATCGAACTGCCGTTTTTAGTACCGATTTTCTCAATTTCAAGCGGTTCCCTAGTCGCTTCATCAAGCAATCTTCTTGCGATCTACGAGATCTACGAACGTGTTTTTTATGCGTTGACGCGTAAGTTTCTTTTGGACCAACTTGGGCTTTTTCAACTAGCACATGAGTGTGACGTAGATGCGAACATGCCGTTCGTTGGAAGTCTGCACGTTTCGATGGCCAAGTCCCAGTCTACTTGAGGCGCCCTTCCAGTTCAAGAGTCGAGTGGCTTCCCCTTCAGCCCTCCTCTTCAGGGGGCGGGCGCAAACCCAATCTACCTCCAGCGCCTCGTACTTGATGTGTGTACCCACTTCGTCCGACCGACGCGTACACCCCTCCTTCCTGACCGAGTTTCTCGGGGGGCCAGCCAGCTCAGACTCTCCGCTCGCCGCATGCCTTGGGGGGGGTATTCCGACCGAGGAACTGGGAGGGGCATCCGGGCCGGCTTGGACAGAGTACTGCTCGTGCAGTGCGAAGCCAGCCCGCACTGACAGGTCAACGACGGTAAACAGAACACCTGGCCCTGAGAGCATAGTGGAGACGTGGCCTCACTGGGGTCCTTGTCTTTCCATTAGGGATCATCCGTCTGGGCGGTTTGGCTTGGTGCACCTGCCGAACAGATCCCCCATCCCTTATGTTCTTGGCCTCCGGACGTATGTCGCTGCCCAACGGTCTGAGGGTCTTTTTGTTATAAACCAGTAGGTGTTACCAAAGACGACTGCCGTCGCGCGCCTGTCGTGTCAAAGCCTCACGGAGAGAGAAGGGGGCAGGCGAAGGACAGTAGACCGCGCTACGACGGCGTCGGCGGATATGGATATACCCATTCATGAACGATTTCACGCGGGTCTGGCACCACGCCGTCTTCTATGCCTTTGCGTTCGGGCTGTACCTGCTTCTAGTCCTCGGGTATCGCGCGTGCGCGGAGGACACCCGCGGACTGGCCGACGAGGAACAGGTGGCACGCTCCAAAGTCGATAATGTTTGTGGATTCGCGATTCGCTATGTGTCCGTTTCCCCACGACGTCGGCGCGCTCCGTCGCGAAATCGGGCGGAATTGGCGCCATGATTCGAGTTGGGGCTTTTCCCGACCCGTGGATCGAACGCACACGCGCCAGATCCACGGATCCTCAGTCCATGTCAGCGTCTGCCCGCCCGCGTTCACGTCGGAGACACGTACGAGCCCTGCACCCCTGCAGGCCAGCTTTCTGAAATGCGGGCGGGGGGTCGGGTGATACCCAACGCGGGTGTCCCACACCCCAGCGTTGATTTCGGAGGAGGAAAAGTACCAGCACCGCTGCCCTCGCCTCGATTTCCCCCTTTGCGGACCTCCTGAGCGCCCTCGTCGCCACCGTCGGATCCGCCTCGGAATCTTGGTCAGAACGCACCCTGAAGAGTTCTGGGGAGTACCGGTATCGGTACCTTTCTGGGTTTCCCATTATGTGTC